TTTTTTTTTTAAAGATTTTGCCAGCAAGACAAATTCGAGTGGAGTTTAATGAATATGAGGCTAGAAGAAATTTGTGCAATTCACATGATGTATTTTTAATTGATCAGAAGATAAGTGGATTTTTGGTTAAGAAATTAGGAAAAGAATTTTATATTAAACGAAAGTAAGTTGATAGTGCATTTTGTCACATGACATTGAAAATATCAAGAAAAATCTTTTATTGAATGATAATTTATATATTTCAGACTACCAATTACTGTTAAATTGGCAAAAAAACACTTAAAAGCTGAAATAGAATCAAAGTTACACAAGACTTCTTTTTTTCTTGATTACAGAGGCACTACTAAAACTCTTCAAGTATGTTATTTAATCAAGTTTACATTGTTTATTTATAATATTAAATTTTTTAGTCATAGCCTATTATACCTAATATGTAAAATATTTTATGTTATTAATGTATAATATCTAACGAATGCTGGTTCTCACAAACCTTTGATGAAAGTAAATATATTAATGAGAAGTTGTAATTATTCTAGGTTGGTCATATGCAACAAACTCCTAAGCAAGTTGCTGAAAATATCATAGCTACCTTTAATAATTTAGCACATAGTTATCCAGGGGGTCTAAAAAATATCAGGTGTCTGTTGATTAAAAGTCCAACTTCTGAATCTTTGCCTGTATATTATTCAATGAGTAAGTATCAATGTGAGAGGCAAAAAAATGTATTTTCATTAACAAATCATAATTTAGTATCTAGGAATGAAGTTCAAGGACCATACACTAAATCTAAACTGTATTCTAAAGATAAAGAAGTTGAAGGTGAATTGTTTGGAAAACGTGTAATAGTAAAACCTAATGGAGATGTCACAGTGTTGTCGGTGAGCTCACGAGACTTAATAAAGTTAAAATATTTTTTAGTGTTAATTATGGTTTTTTTTTAGGGATCTGAAGAAGAATCAGATTTTGATGATGAAAATGATGTTTATGTATCTAATAAAAAAAATAAACAAAACAATAGTGATGAATCTGCTATTGAGGAAGATAATGAAGGAGATGAAGTAAGTTGTAATCATATTTAAATAATGAGATTAAAGATTTGTATCTATTAAATACCTAAATATGCAAAATATAGGCATTAAAAATATAAAATTCAATAGTGCAAACTATCAGTATCATTATGAAACATGTATAAAATACAACATGTTCAACCCCCCTCCCCATAGAGAAAAAATGTTACTCAATTTTAAATTGATGTTTTTTTACGGGTTTTCTGATAATTAGACTTTTAGCTCCCCCTTTCATCCCACCTTGAAATTATTGAAAATACGCCACTGAATATACAAATGTAGATATTTTGTACTTGGCATACAGTGTCCCACGAGGATTTACCCATTGCRATATCTCCCAAAACAATGGAGATAATCAAAATTTTGGTTTTTTTAATAAGACTCACAGAGATGAGAACTTCAATTATTTCATATTTTAATGTTTTAACGAGTTTTAATGTTTTGGTAAAAATATATTTTTTTATTTAATTATTTCAAAAAAAATTGAATAGCTATTATTTAGAAAATATTGATGTTTCAAAATTTATTTATTTTTTTGGTTTCAAAAAAAATTACAAATTATTAATAACTCTRGTGTTATCAAACATTTGACCTGTCACACCTTGCACTTTCTCGCACAGCCAGCCGAACACTTTTAGTGTCCCTAGTTATAATCATATTTTATTTCTTGAAAACTAGAAAAAAATATTAAAAATCAGGAAATTAATTAAAATACAATTTTGAAACGTCAATATTTTTAGAAAGATAAAACTTTAYAAATTGGCTATCTTTAAATTTTTTGGAAATAATCAAATAAAAATTATATTTTTAAAATTTCTAACCAAAACRTTATAATAAATTAAAAATTAAATTAATGTAGTTCTTATCTCTGTGAGTCTTCTTACTAAACCAGAATTTTGATATCTCCATAATTTCGTGAGATATCGCAATGGGTAAATCTTTGCAGGACACTCCTTTTATTACACTCAATCAGATAAAATATTTGCATAACATATTTAGTAATTTTTTTAGTACAATTTAGACATAAATTATGATCTATTCTCACAATCTGACTTTTAAAACTCAGTTAAAATAATCTTGAATCTTATATCAAAGGTATTTTCTATAAATACAAAAAAATATACTGAAAATATTTAAGTGTTGGATACTTAATTTTATAAAAATGTATTAGTATTTTATAATTGTTAAATTTTTTTTATATATATATACTTGTAGAATCATTAGCTATCTCTAATTTTTTGAGTTACACAAACAGAGTGATTATTAAAAAGGTTTAAGAATACACATTCACTATTTAAAAATGGGGCAATAATTGTTTAGTTCATATGCTTAACYCAATTTGTGAAATAGCCCAATTATGCAATGAGAAACAATAAATACTGCTCATTTCATGAATTAAGAAGCAAGCAAATATTTACTATAGATCCTACATTAATATTTTACTTAATAAAGTTTTCTAGAACTAATATTATAATATGTATATAAATACTCTCATGTTATAATATTTCAAAGATGTATACAAGAAATTTAGTAGGTTTAAATACTTATAATTTACGTGTTAAA